AGGCCACAGCCACGCGGCCCACGGACGCCAGAGCTGTCACCGTGACGATTTTGAACAATGGGCGTCGTGCAGGTCGGCGTGACAACATGACGGTGCAGCAGGGAGGCACACGGCTGTAAAGCGATTGCAGGTTTCGACACCCACCCCCGAGAACAATCATATCCGGGTCCAGCACATTAATAATCATCGCACATGCGCGGGAAAATCTGTCGATATAGGCATCCAACGCTCGCACCGCATTGACATCGCCACTCGCAGCCGCTTCCTCAATGCCCGATGTATCCCGATGGCCAGACCCCCTGCCACGCTTCCGCGAGAGACGCGCCACAGAGAAATCTCTCGAGGCAACCCTCGTTACCACAGAAGCATTTTGGCATCGGAAATTCCTCAATACGCGGCCAGGGTAGAGGCAGATGCCCCCACTCACCTGCAATGGAGTGCCTGCCAGCCATAAGCTTGCCATCATGGCAATGCCGCGCCCCATCCCTGTGCCGATAATGACGCCGAACACCACGCTCTGCCCAGCAGCCGCGCCATCCGATGCTTCCGATAGTGCAAAGCAATTGGCGTCGTTTTCGACTCTTACGGACCGCTGGAGGGCCGTATCGAGGTCGCGGCCAAAAGGCTTATTGTTGAGCCACGTCGCATTGGCATTTTTAACGAGGCCCGTTTCCGGTGAGATCGCACCAGGTATTCCGATACCGAGTGACGTCGTCGCTTTACCGGCAACCGGATTTTGGAACGGTGCCGCATCAAGGCGGGTTTCTATGCCCAGCACAAAATCTCTGACAGCGACGACCGCACGATCATAGATACCCGGGTTGGGAACCCGCTCACGCAGGAGAAGACGACCGGCGTGGTCGAGCACCGCGATTTCGATTTTAGTGCCACCAAAATCGATTCCGAGACGATAATCTGCCATATTGAAACCCCCAAAATCCAGAGGCGGACGACACTGATCTATCTGTGGCACATAGTCAATCAAGCACGGGTAAAGGTATACGCGCCTGTTTGTGCGACTTGACCAGACGCGTCGCGCCGCCCATCATGCCTTGAT